ATCCATACACCTACGCACACATGATTGTATGTTATTTCGTGCGTTTTAATTTTGCCACAAACCCTAATTCTTTTTCTGAAATAAAAGTATCCTTAGTTACTCCTTATAACATCAGCCATCTGCTAGTGAAAGTCTCGTCAAAATTGGTCCACCTATTTCGGAGATTGGCCGGAATGAACAGGCAGATGGACAAAAATTAAAAAAAATGTTTTTGTTATAAGTACCTATTGCGTAGCTGATCACGTGGTTGTAAATGTGACTGGTTAAGGTACTGACGTTAGTATCCCGGTTCGGGCCTAAAATAAATCAGTTTTAACATAAAAGTCAAGAAATTCTCACTAGCTGCCTGAAGTTAGGAAACAGGCGGTTTTTCACCCCCCATTGGGTGACAAACGGGCACACAGTCCACCTGATGGTAAGTGGATGCTGTGGCCGATAGACATCTACATTTATCTTCAACTAAGGATAAAAATTCTAATGAGTTGTCATCCCTGAGGACTAAGATGGAATGCCTCGATTCCAGTAAAAAGGGTCTTCGGTTCTCTACACACACCATACGAAACACAGCAGCATTACGCTGCTATTAGACGCTGGTATTCCGTGAGAGCGTGGTCCTACTACGGTTAAGTCGACCCATTCGTGTCACAACTATAATATAGCTGCAGCGTGGCTCTACCACGTAAACAACCGTGTCTTGAAAAGCACGCAAAGCCGGTGGTCCTGCGCCTGATCTCTCTCCGGTCGTGTTGGATTACCGTCACATCGGACTATGAGAGTGAGGGAGTACAGAGTGCACCAGTGCTGAGATACTGAGAATGAAGGAAAAACTCAATAATTAAGTTTTTGGCCCGACCCGGGACTCAAACCCAGGATATCATAATCAGCAGTCGTACTACTACAACCACTAGACCAACGAGGCAGTGACATATAAGTATATGTTACAATGCATGGATTGTAACATATAGTAATATGTTACATCAATGTGCGAGAGACTGGTGTCAAAACTAGGATTCCCTGTATAACAGATCACCAGCCTTCCACCTACACACCAATCTATAATCTAGGTAATAGGCGTTAGAACTACTTTTCTGGTTTTTTTTTTTGTAGAATAATGGTGACAAACGAATACACAGTTCACCTGATGGTAAGTGGATGCAGTGGCTCATAGACATCTACATATATCCTCGATTAAGAATCAAAACGCAGATGTGCTCTCACCTCTGAGGACTAAGATGGAATGCCTCGTTTCCAGTTAAAAAAGGGACTCTGGATCTCTACACTCACCATACGAAACACAGCAGCATTAAGCTGATATTTCACGCTGGTATTCTGTGAGAGCGTTGTCTTTCCCCGGTCGAGCTGACCCATTCGTGCTACAACCATAATACAGTTGCAGCGTAACCACGTAAAGTTAAGCTGTAATTAGTTAGGTTGTAGGTTAAGAGCTTAAGTTGTAAGATTCATCATGTATTAAATTAAATACAAATACATGAGCGCTGTCAGGATTACTTTCAGTGAAGTGCATCTGCATCTATATATTATACTATTAGTTGATATGAAATATAGAATTATATGTGTATATTATGCAGATAAAATGTAATGTCAAATGAATGTATTTCTCTCATCGAAAAAATATCCTAATTTCCGTTCTCATTGGTTGGCATTATTGCTCGGGGAATCCCCGCTGCCGCGCGATATGTTCAGTGTACACAGGGAAAAAGTAGTGAGGGATACTGAATTTATTGACAAGGTGATAAACAAAGGAAACAATCGTTTTAGGGCCTACTAGAAATTTTAACATAACTTAATTTTATTACACATAAACAAATAAACCAATTTATTGTGATAAACAGCCTAAATATTTTATGAAAATCTAATAGGAACCATGAAATAAAAAAAAAAGTTATTTTGATATTTGTCTTCTGGCTAAAAATAATGCGTGTAACTAAGAACGAAACTACTAAAAGGATTTTCCATCAATCTTAAAGTATATCTAAATACTGAATGTATCTGCAACTTATACTTTTTATTATTGAACAGTGCACTATTTCAACTTATAATATTTTTTATAGGATAGGGTGACAAACGAGCACATAGTCCACCTGATGGTAAGTGGTTGCTGCGGCCCATAGACGTCTACATCTATCCTCGATTACAAATCAAAATGCAGATGCGTTGTCACCCGTGAGGACTAAGATGGAATGCCTCGTTTCCAGTAAAAAGGGTATCCGGTTCTCTACACTCACCATACGAAATACAGCAGCATTAAGCTACTATTTCACGCTGGTATTCTGTGAGAGCGTGCTCCTTCCCCGGTCGAGCCGACCCATTCGTGCTACAGTTGTACTACTAATATAACTGCGGCATGGCTCTAAAACCGAAACTGATGAAAACTACTAGACAATCGCTTTTAGTTTGTTTTTAGGTTATTGTGATATTCATATTTTAATTGTTTTCTCGGTATTCCCGTTAGATACGGTTAAACTAATATTACTTTTGTAATCTATAGATTATAAGGAATAATTAAAAAACATATATTTCATTAAGTTACGCCACAATATTTGGTGGGCCCATTCTACATACAAAAACAAAATTGTCTCCTTTGAACAGCAACCTAGACGCCTTATTCAAACAATAACTTAATAAAAATGTAATTTTTTATCTATCTACTTTCTTTCCTAACAACATGTTAAAACATTTCGCATCCTGCCATCGGCGCCGATAGCCCAATGTAACACATAACCTACAATTAAAATATTTTGAATTTGAATAACACAAAAAGCTTTTTAGATGAAAAGAGTTACGTATCGACGCCTTCTTAATATTAAGCCTTGATTATATACTTGACAAGTATATAATCAATGATATTAAGAATGTTATTGCTAAATATATGTTTCTTTCAACAGAGAGAAAAAGTTAGATTATATTAAACTATTAAATAAGTCACGAAATTTAACTTAGAGATATGTATACCAAGCTTCGAGAGAAAAATCCAACTTGGCTAACCCCGCAGGAGTTCAAACACCTCAATCACCATTGGCGCTGCATATAAAACACGCAAAACGTCGGGATTAATAAAAAAGTATAAATTAAACGCGATAAAATTGGTTTTATTCATATTTAAGTGCTATTAACACAAAATGCAAAGCTTGAAATATTATGAAAATATTTTCCATCTCCTCCGCGGGTGGTGTACACCGCTGTGAATAAAATGGCGCAGTTTTGAAAGGGACGTTATGCATTTATCATAGCTATAGCGAAATATAAATTATTTTTTAATCGACTCCAAAAATGGAAAAGGCTGAATTTGTATGTTACACGACATCTTTTACTAAATGAAACTTACAGTATGGCTTAAAGTTACATATACGGCCTATATCCTTCCCACTGCTGGACACACGCCGCCTCTCATTTCTGAGAGGGTTTTAGGGCAAGAAAGTGTCCACCGCGTTGCCCCAATGCATGTTAGCGAACTTCACATGTCTTCGAAATTTGTTTTCTTATTTCTCAGACATGCATGTTTCCTTAAGATGTTTTCCTTCACCGCCGAGCACGTGGCAAATCAGCACTTAAAATTGCAATTAATAATTTCACTGGTGCCGGCGAAGATCGGACCCGGTTTGCTCGTGTACTGTGAAATTTACAGCGAGCGCTAACCATCTGAGCCACCACGGCTCGAGTATGGCTTATTTAAATTGAAAAAAAAAATCAAAAAGTAATATGACAGATATATCCGAGTACAGTTTAATATATATTTCTTTTGAAATTTAAATATAAAGACAAGATTTAACTGAATAATTGATATAATATTATAGAATAAGTTTTTTATAATTATAGAAAAATTAACAAACGAGCATGTGTCTCACCTGATGGTCCTATGGACTACCGTGACCCTTGAACAACCGGGGATCGCAGGTGCGTTGCCGACCCGTTAGAAAGGGGTAAGCTCTTTTCTTGAAGGTACGGAAAAATCGCCGGTGGTAAATAATGGTGGACCGCGAAACATTCAAATGTTGTGGATGGTGTCGTGAGTTTTGTCGCGATGTGCGTTCGTAAAATATGGCGGTTGGAATTAATCCGAACAATTCCTCAGTGCACTCCCCGTGGTGGATGCGATAGATAATGTAAAGTGATGCAACATCCCTTTGCAGCGCCAATGAATCGATGCCGATCAGAAAAATATCGGTCGTCGACGATTCGCCAAGCTTTTTAGAGGCCAATTTTGCCTCCTCTTCCATGTCACCACAAAAATCCCACATTAGGATGATAAACGAGCATATAGTCCAGAAGATGGTATGTGAATTCTTTGCCCCGTAGACATCTACATTAATCCTCAATTAAAAACTAAAATGCAGATGTGTTGTCACCCCTGAGGACTGAGATGGAATGCCTCGTTTCCAGTAAAAAGGATCTCCGTTTCCCTACACAAAACACAGCAGAATTAAGTTGCTATTTTACATTGATATTCTATGAGTCTAATTTTTTAATCGACTCTAAAAATTGAAGAGGTTCTCGTTTTAACTATATTTGTATGTTACTCAATATTTTCGCCGACAGTGGTGGCTCATAAAAAAATCCAAAAATAATTGATCTGAGGACACTTGAATGTGCTTTTACTCAATAATATAATTACTAAGTATTCTGTACAAAGAGAAATCGCGGTTTTCATATCTGGTTTCAAGATTTTGTCGTAGACCTATATTTTAAACATTTACGGAACTTCTTGTTTTTTCTATTTTAGAAAATCAGGATTGAAAACCAAAACAAAATTTAAGGAATCAAACCTTAGTTCCGCGATGTAGGGTAATTTGGTACTCTGACATCTAAGTCACTCAGTCACCAATTTTATTACTATTACTAATTCTATCTAATTACTTACAAAATTATTTTTGTTTTTGTTCACAGGTCGGCTATCTTAAGCACGATACAAAATGTCATCCACCATGATGTCTTTTTCGCGCGTTTTTTTATTACTCATTATCGCTATTCTATACATGCAGATGGACTCCAGCCATTCAGCCACCGTAAGTATTTAATAAGAAAAGAAAATGTATGCATAACTTAAGTCTAATTTAAAAGATGGGAATATAAGAGAATATGATAACTTTTTATCTACTACGTCTACGTGATGAACTCCTTTCTACCTGCTTAGTTTTTTTTTTGCATGGGGAAATGCCTACGCATACCCGCCTCGCGGGGGGCAAGGACGGGTTATGTCGGACTCGCACCGACTAAAACCCCATGGTGTTCCACCTTTGTCGCATATTGGCAGGGCTACGGGAACGCTTTCGCACACATCCGCGGCCCTACTAGCGCCTGCCGCCCCATGGCAGCACCTCCTCGGGAGAGGAAAATTCCTCCCCGTTCTCCTTCCCAGGTAAGGCGCACCAGAACACATGGCGCGCCTTCCTCCACGGCCTCCAATTACGTCTGTGCAACAGACGCCCCCGCGTCCGATGCACAAAGGCCATGGGGCCAGGAAAAACGAGCACTTAGAAGTACTAGCCTTCCCGACCCCAGCGGCGGATCTGGTCTATGGCTCCGCCGCCAACCAAGATTCGGCTGCGGAGGGTAGGGAGAGCGGCGCCTCGCAATACCGAAAATCCTCTCCCCCCGCAGCCCCACCACCACCGCATCAACGGTGCGGCCCCGTTTGAGTCGCGAAGGATAGGGCGAGTGGCGCATCGCCATACCAACACTCCTCTTCCTCCGCGACTCCACCTCGGCTGCAGCGGTAGAGGGTGCGCGAGTCCCCACTCGCTGCAGTCCACCAGCACACATCCGAAGTGGGCTCCCCAAGCCCACTCGAAGTGGCCACCTCCGGCCGGCCCGTCACCTCGGGCCAGCCACGTGGGTTCCTCTTTGTTCACCGTGGGAGACCAAGCCACGGCTACTAAGCCCCCCGCCACGACAAGGCGGAAACCCGTTCGGGGGGGGAACTCCTTTCTACCTGCGATTAGGTTTTTTGTAACAAACGAGCACACAATCTACTTGATGGTAAGTGGATACTGCAGCTCATATACATCTACATTTATCCTCAATTAAGGATCAAAATGCATGCGTTTTCACCTCTGAGAACTAAGATGGAATGCCTCGCTTGCAGTAAAAAGGGTTGCCGGTTCTCTACACTCACCATACGAAACAAAGCAGCATAGAGCTGCTATTTTACGATGGTATTCTGTGACAGCGTGATCTTACCCAGGTCAAGGCGACCCATTCGTGCTACAACTATAATATAGCTGCAGCGTGGCTTTAAAACGCCAGTAGGTTTGGATGGGTATCACCTACTTATTTCTGTCACCATATTTTACCTGATTAACGCACATAACCTTCTTGTTGGGACGTTATATATCTATAAAACCAAAACTAGGAGGAGGACAGAGACAAAAACACAAAGTCGTATACTGTAACTAATATATTAAGGAACAAATAGCAAACAAGCTCTGGAAATAATTTAGAACACTTCGAAAAATGAACTTAAAAAAACTAACGATACTACACAATACTAAAATCGTATAAAATATTAAATATAATGTCAAACTGTCAAAATGGCGTCGATAAAGCAGCGCCCTTTTAACCTTTAATATTTAATTTATATTTATTTCATAAAAGATAGCTAGTTCTCTGCGACAGCTGTCAGTAAAAATCACGCCTATGAAGTCCTGAATTTCTTAGTAGTACAGACGGTACCTGTCAATGTCATACTTTATGGGCATGCCGACCTAATTAGTGCATGCCCATAAAGTATGACATTGACAGGTACCGTCTGTACTACTAAGAAATTCAGGACTTCATAGGCGTGATTTTTAATGACAGCTGTCGCAGAGATCAAGCTATCTTTTATGAACTATAGATCTATTGATTATGGAATGTAGAGGTAAGGAGTACAGACTCTGTATAAAAAGTGTCCGTAGGAAAGCGCTAAATAGGTGGCGCCACTGTAGCTACAGTCTAAATTTTAAAGTACTTTTTATAATTTTTTATTGCATAATAGACTTTCACCATAATTCTTTTTACAATAATTATTTTATTGCTTCCAAAATTTTTTTTCAAAATCACTCTCAACATATTTTACGGCGATTTATCATACCTTGTAGCTACTCGAGCGCTGTTGTGGAGAGTTTCTGAACTGCTATTTACTGCTTACAGGACACATTTTCAACTATTCTCCTATGGGAGATTGTTCTCCTTACCTATATACTCCATGCTATTGATGAAGAACTCGTATCACAGAGTCATCAATGCAAAAAAGGGTGTAGTTTTTGAGTTATAAGAAAGTAACCATATTAACTGGATGACCATATTACCCTCACGTACTATAGTTGGATGCACGTAGCCACTTACCATCAAGTGGACTGTAAATTCATTTATCCCGTCATAATATAAAAAATCCACCCATATAGGTACTATCTAAATAACAAAACGTAACTGAATGAATTTTATTAGAAAAGAATAGAATATAGATTTTTTTAACTTATCATAAGCCAGTGCTTGGACACAATCCCACCCGGTGGTAAGTGGTGATGCAGCCTTAGATGGTATATAGCACTATCTTAGCGTAACAAAAGCCTATTCACTCTTGCCTTGAAGACGCCCAGATTGTGATCGGATGGAAAGATAGACGCCGGGAAATTATTCCACTCCTTTGATGTACGCATTACGAAAGATGAAGCAAACCGTTTAGTTCTAATGCGTGGAATATCGACAACAAAGGCGTGAAGAACCGCCGACTGCCTGGTCGTCCAATGGTGGAAAGGAGAGGCTGTTTCATTGAATATTTCATTGAATATACTCGTTATTTTGTTAATATACTCGTTATTTTGTTAATATACTCGTTATTTTGTTAATATATTCGTTATTTTGTTAATATACTTGTTATTTTGTTAATATACTCGTTATTTTGTTAATATACTCGTTATTTTGTTAATTTACTCGTTATTTTGTTAATATATTCGTTATTTAGTTAATATACTTGTTATTTTGTTAATGTACTCGTTATTTTGTTAATATACTCGTTAATTTGTTAATATACTCGTTATTTTGTTAATATACTCATTATTTTGTTAATATACTCGTTATTTTGTTAATATACTCGGATTTTATCACGTATACTATATTTTTTATATTCCTTTTGTTTCGAACACTTTACACCCATGGTCACAGGGGGGACTGAGATGTTCAACGTCCAGTTAATTTAGTTAATATACGCGATAAAATCCGTAAAAACTAGTATTATTTAAATGTATAGTGTTCGCGTAAATATAAGAAATCATTATTGTGTAGTATACTTATTTTTTTAAGTTAATATTTCGAAGTTTTCCTAATAATTGCCAAAGCTTATTATTTGCCATTTTTTTCCTAATACATTAGTTGTAATACCTATTCGACTTTGTCTTTTTGTCTCTGTCCTTCTCCTAGTTTTGGTTTTATGGATCAGCAAAGCTTAATAACCATATTACCCTCACGTACCTTATACTTTCTCTCATTTTTTTATAACACTGTTATAATTTCAGTATTAAAACTTTTTTGTTTGTATTTTTTTATTTTACAATATCATTCTATCCACCCATTACAGGCCATAAAAATCCCCTGCTATGTAAAGGGCCATAATTTAAGTGCGGATTTTACCATAATTGCCACGCTTATCAGTTTTTTTCAATTTTGTGTTATTATCAGGACGTGCTACTACCCATCTCCAGTCTATGTTTCCCTCTGTCGCCTCTTACAAGCATACGACACCCACAGGATGAGACTGTAAGAATACATTAAAACAAAATGTAAACTTTTTCACTTCTATTTTATTAAAAAAAAATCATTGCAGGTACCAAGGAACTTCGACTCGAGAAGTGATGAGGTGATCATGACGCCCAAGAAAAGACCTTTCTGTAACGCTTTTACTGGTATGAATTTTAAATTAAATATAATATAATTCTGGAATTTCCAGTCGGTAACCTTTAAACATGCGTGGCAGGATTTTTTTTCTGTGATATTCATCCAATGCTTGCATTCTAGACTTTTCTGCCCCCAGGGCGGCGCCACTGAGAAATAATTAAATATTTGACAAATTTCATAGCGAAGAAAGTATGGAGTGTGGAAGTAAGGAGTACCAACTCTCATACTAGAATAGTTGATAAAGTGGTCATCTGTAAGCAGTAAATAACAGTTCAATAACTCTTCACAACAGCGCTGGAGTAACTACTGGGATGAAATGAACTTAGCCGTTGTCGACGGTTTAAGTGTGCTGCTAAACTGCTCAGTAGCTCTAAAATCTAAAGTAATTTTATTTAGTAAATATAACCTCGAAAAAGTCGTCTATCCCACTAATATTTTCCGGTGCGTTCTTTAAATTTACCCCGTAGCTATAGTGGCGCCACTCTTATTTAAAGGTTTTTATGGAAACTTTTTAATACACAGTCTGTACTCCTTACTTCTGCACTCCATTGAAGGAAGTTTAGAAAAATGTAAAGGTTAATGTTTATTTCTGTTCTATTATTTATATTTTATATTAATTAGATTAAAAGTAAATAAAAAAACACATATATTCATAAAAGATTAATATTTATTTCTTAAATATTAATTATATTTTGTATGAATTGGATTAGATATGGATAAACCAAACTAGGGACATTCCTAAAAGAAGTAGAATTAAAAGAAACTTAAAAATGATTAAAAAATAAAAAATACAGCACTGAGCCATTGTTTTGTGTGGCCACTAAAAATATTTTTTAATTTATTTTTTAAATTTAAAAACCCGGCTTTTCAATGATGTCTTTATAGACATACTGTGTAACCATCTATACATAATAATGCATGGAGATATACTTTTAAGTCAGTCTAACAACATAGAGATATAACAATGAGGACATTTACTTTTTCAGGGCGACGCCACTTAAAAAGAGATGTAATATCTGTCAGATTTCATATCGAGGAAGTTAATTTGTAAAAAATATAAATTTATGTTTCTACCTGTACTATTAGTCATATATTATATTAATTACATTAAAAATAAATAAACCGAAATACAGGTATTCATAAAAGTAGAAAAATTAAAAAAAAGAATTAAAATATGCAAGAAAATAACGAGCAAACTGAGGCATTGTTTTGTGTAAAAATATTATAGGTGCTCGAGAAAGCGATAAACTTTTATTTAAATCTAACTTCTCAATTAGATTAGACTGTGTAGCAAACAATTCATTTCAGTGTCAACTAGCGACATCTATTGAGCGCAAAATTATAAGACCTTAAGTTCAACTCAATTTTGACTAGCGACATCTAGCGAGCGTAAAATTATTAGCCTCGTAGTTCGCTTTTTTAAGCGCGAGCTACAAAAATGGACCCCAGTGCGAGTTTTAATGGACTACACATGTCTGATGAAATATTTTTAAATCTCATTTCTCAGACATGCAGGTTTATTCACGATGTTTTTATTTTTATTCCGTTCGCGCTTATTATTTTATACCGTCCTGACCTACTGAAAAGAAAATCAGCGCTGTTGTTTCGACGACAGCATACGCCTTTGTTTAACGCGCCACAACACAACATGAGGAACTTCTTTTAATTTAATTTATATGTACATACTTTTATGTTATATCCGTCAAATTGTTTTTTTAATTTCATTTCATTATTTTTAATTAATGTTAAAATTTAGTGCCTAATAATGTTTGTGGCGTGTTGCTCTAAACGTTTCTTTCTGTCTTTCTTAATTTATAAACCACAAGAAACGAGTTCTGTGTCAATTGAATATTATTTGAACTCATTTAAATTTCGAACTCTCGAAACCGTAGCTAGCGCTAAATCGAATGGTGGTTCAAATTGGAATTATCGGAACGAAAGTCTTCAGCTATCTGCGGCTAGATGGCACCCGTAATCGTAAGCGAGAAAACGCTTTTTCTTGATTAACTTATTTATTATAATCAATATTCTTTATTGCACACCATACAAAAATTACAGAGATGATATACACAGAGAATAGAAGTATGCAATGGGCGGTCTTATTGCTGTCAGCAATATCTTCCAGACAACCAATGAATGGACCGGATTGGACGAAGATGACAGGAGTAGGGCAAACTGGGGTGATAAAAAAGAATAAACATATTTACATTTATAATATACATACTACAAACATAACATACAAAAAATAAAATACATAAAAACATAAAATATTCACACTCACGCCTGTCACCCAGAGGGATAGGCAGAGGCCACAGACTTCCATTTGACACGATCCTAACACACCTCTCTACCCTCCCCTACATCCATATATTATATACATGAATGTAGGGGAGCATTATAGCATACATTCTCGTCGGTTAAGGATACTCTTAATTTGACCCATTTTCAATATATCGCCTTAATTTGGTTAATTTGGTTGATAAACTTTCGCCTAGTACGTCCCTTTCCGACTTTTCCGTTCACTTCTGCAACATGCTTTGTCATTCTTTCCTCATTAATTATTTCTACATGACCAAAACATTCTTTTATCTTAACCCTAGTCACAATATCGTCCTGCAAACCTCACTTCACTTATCACACAATTTGTTACCCTGTCACTCAGATTCAACCCTGACATACTCCTTAACGACCGCATTTCTACTGCGTTTATTCTACTCTCGTGCTTCTTCTACCACATTCAACTTTCACTACCATACGTTAAATTAGGTACTAACACATCATTGCGATTTGCCGTACGTACCTTTTTTGACACATTCTGCCTTTTAACAGTAGAGTGTAGAGTAAAATATTTGACAGATTTCATAGCGGGGGAAGTAATTTGTTAGAAAAGTGTAGAGTTTATGTTTTTTTTTTTGTAATGTTACTAAAAATGAATAAACCAAACTACCTTTTTTATTGTTACTAAAATTAATAGTAGTATGTAGGTATAAATATAATATTAATTAAATTTATTATAAATCGAGAGTGGTAGCGTAAACGGGGCATGACGGCTAAAAGAGCGACATGCCGTTTGTGTCACGGCATACGAGTCGGTTTAAGGCCTGGTTTACATTTTGAGATGTGGCAAGTGCAACTGACAAACGCCAAGTGCTTAGTGCGTATTTCATTACCACTTGTTCACACGCACTAGACACTTGTCATTTGTCAGTTGCACTTGCCACTCGCACTTCTCAAAATGTAAATCGGACCTTAATACCAAGGCTGGCCAATAAATGCTTCACATTAAAAAAAAACTATATAGAACGACTCGTCTGGAAAATGTAAATGGAACTATGTTTTGTTAAGCGAAGTCACTCGATGACGATGGGATAGAAAACTCATGTTAAGGAGGCAGTAGAGTTATTCATAAAATAATTGTACGAAACAGTAGAGTTTTATGGGAACGGATAATAAATACAAGTGGTAAGATTAAAAATTTTGTGCAACCGACTTCAATACAGTTAAAATGAGTACAAGAGTCTATTAAATACGCATTATTAAGGATAACTCAAAAACGACTGGTCAGATCTCGATTAAACTTATATGGGACCACACAAGAAGTACCAGCTTTCAGATAAAATGAGAACAAATTATCAAAATCGGTTCACCCAGAGAAAAGTTCCGAGATGACACGCATAAAAGAAACATACAGTCGAATTGAATACCCGCTCCATTTTGAAGTCAGTAGGAAATGACAAAATAACACATGTGTACCTCATCATCATTACCGCACATCACAAGTCCACTGCTGAACGTAGGACTCCTAGTAATGCACAAAGCACGACCGTGAGCCACCTGCAACCATCGACTGCTTGCATCTCTTAACAGGTCGTCACCAGTACTAGGCTGTCAATTGAGAACCTTTCTCCCGAGTTGGCAGTCGGTTCTTAGAGCAATCCATTAGAACATATACCTCTCCCATATATTGCCTCGTAGGAAATATTTGCCACAGTTGCCATGCTTGGCAAGGGGGTTGGCCATTGCTTTTTTTATTCGTTATTAGAAAAACTCTGCTGCCCATCTGATTTGTTACCATCTGTCGCCTCTTACGACACACACGGGATGATATGGGTCAGTGGATATTCTTACACCGCCACTACAAAGTTAATTCGAGCAATATGAGTGGCCTATTACTTAAAAAAGCGGTCTAAGTGCGACCTGAAAGGTCCACACGACTAACTTCCCGATGGAAAGATTAAAAAATATCATATGTATTAATATTTTATAAAAATTTTCATTCGGCACAAAAAACGACTTCACAGATTTTGCTCAAAATTTAATGAGGTCTAAGTTACATAATTATGCGTTAAACGAAACTGGTCTCATGTCAATATCACTCTTTGTTCTCGAGATACACGAGGCGAAAATTGAATCCGAACATACTCTATAATACATAGATACATATATGCGCACACATAGACATCCTCTTAAAAACCATACTATTCGACTCCAAAGACCTTGAAACGTGGAGATTTACGTTAAAATTTCCAATTTACAAAATCGGACCAATTACAATAACTTCCAACTGGGAAGTTCAATATTGAGATAGACTTGTAATATTGGCAATGTTATTTAAATATTTCTTTTTGTTTCTAGGTTGCGGACGTAAACGTTCTCAGTACTCCCCTGGCATGCCCCTTCAAGAAATAATGCGACAGAGACAGGTATGTGTAAATTATTATATTTTTTTATATAGAATAAGGGTGACAAACCAGCACACAGTCCACCTGATGGTAAGTAGATGCTGTGACCCATAGACATCTACATCTAACCTCGATTAAGAATCAAAACCACTCCTGAGGACTAAGTGTGCATAAACATAAGGCATAAACAAGGCATTCCACCTTAGTCCTCAGGGACGACAACGCATCTGCACTTTGATTCTTAATCGAGTGTGCTTCTTTGTCACCCGTATCTAATATATAAAAATTAATGTTTATTTGTTCGTATTTTATGCGCTGCTATACCGACTATCAGATTGACTACATTTTTTCATTTCTTTTTTAACTTTTATTTGCTTCATTAGAGGCAATTATTTTTATTTTATTTTATAATTTTTTATTTTAATTTTTGCAATTCATTTTGTAATTTAATTTTATGTGTTTTCATGCTCTTGTGTTTCGTATGGAATCGTATGGAACCGAAGACCCTTTCTACTATGTACAAGGCATTTAATCTTAGTCCTCGGGGGTGACAACGCATCTGCATCTTGATTCTTAATCGAGGATAAATGGACACAGTATCCACTTACCATCAAGTGGACTGCGCTCGTTTATCAATCATATTAAAAAATATTGCTTGCAGAAATATAAGAAACATAAACACTTTATATATTATTGCAGTACGTTGACGACGACGTAGTCAGTGCCCTCATGGACTCTGAGAATGCTGTAGATGAGCTGTCCCGTCAGATCCTCTCCGAAGCGAAGCTCTGGGAAGCAATTCAAGAGGCAAGCGCTGAAATAGCAAGACGGAAGCAGAAGGAATTCTACAATCAGTAAAGCAATATAATCGCAAAAATACGGAGAGAAAGATTCTGTAATTAGCTATGTGCTTTATCTTTAATTTCATAGAGATTTTTTTTAAACTGATATGTATTTTCTAACATTTGAAGTATTATTCATAATAAAAAGAGAAAGTGTTTAGATTAACTATAACAGAATCTTTCTCCAAGTTGTTATTAAAAAAAGATATATAGAGAATTAATGACTGGCCCGAATAGGTTTTGTACCGTAGCGTTTCAATTTTATAATGTTCCCATTATACGTAGAAATATGAATTTAATACCAGTTGTATGTGTCTTTAATATTTTTTTCGAAAATGCATTTTCCAAACGCAATATCATCATTGTCAATCGATTTGCGCCAATTTGTATTGACAGTCACTATTTTTATTTTAAACTTGAAATTTTTACAAAAGGCTTTTTTTACATTCTATTTATATAAATATCTACATTGTTCTGTTACTAATTACGTACTGAAAAATAAAGATAAGTTTTATTGTTAAACCTAGGAGGTGACACATATTTATTGTTACTTGTATATACTAATTATTTGACGTAAGTATTTTACGAAAATAATTAATTTTTAATACATACAAAAATATTTAAAAAACCAGATAATTCTTCTAATATCTAAATAATTGACATAGAGGATACCAGTATTACAGTAATTTGAACAAAACATATTTTATACCTAGTCAATTTATTTTTAATATAATTAATTCTAAGATATAATTAAGCAAATCTTTAAAATACTTTACATGATCTGTGGCAATTATAATAGGATTTGTCTATTAAATTATTTTAAAAGTAAAAGCTATATTTGTGCGTGACATAGGTAATTAGCTTTAAGAAAACAACTATGATATATTCGGACTTTAAAGAGTCAATAAAATATTATATCAAATTATTGTATTTGTTTTTCGAGCTTATAACAAATTATGTGGTGTTGCTAGCGGATAAAATTGTGGGGAAATCTCGTAGCCACTCTCGTATTCTATCCTATTCGTCATCTTAGTCCTCAGGGGTGGCAACGCATCTGCGTTTTGATTCTTAATCGAGAATAAATGATGATATCTATGGGCCACAGCATCCACTTACCATCAGGTGGACTGAGTGCTCGTTTATCACCGTCATTCTATAAAAGTGATAACTCCGATACAGTCTCATATCAGTTGCTCGAGCAATCCGCATGTTGTATGTGTGCGATCTGCCTGTGTTTGTTAAGAAATCCGAAACTACACGAGCGTCATTATTGTAATTTTTAAGTTTAAAAAGAAGTAAAAAGTAAAAATGTGATTAAAAATAACTTATATATGTAGGGTTAATCGCTATCTCCTTGTAAATTTGACGTGGCAGACATGGGAAAAAACAGTGCGTCGATTCAGCCAGCAATTAGATTTAGTCTCGTGAGTAGTACGCTGCAATAAGTTTCATGGTACGCACAAGACCGCGTGGACTGACAGAGGGGAAAGCCTGCATATGGTTACTTCCCTTCGGTCTCCCTACATACAGACCCACGGGAGTTTTGGAGGGAACTTGACTACGGTAATACTTATAATATTACCGTGACCTGACCGTGGACGGATTGTCGCTTAAACAGTGGTTTGAAGTGGATTCGTAAAAGTGATGTGATTTTGTTAATTAAGTGTCCGCGCGTGTGAACTATTAGAGAAAATGACGAAACAAGTGCGTTATGTCGATAAAAACCTCAAGTTATTTTGATCGCTTGGGCGCCTCATGAACTTGAGTAGCTGTCGTCAACTGTCGTGGTTTGAGCTGTCGTCAAAATCTCCAAAGGGCTTTGCAATGTGACGCATCGGCATATTTAAAATATAAAAATGAATATTAGAATATAAAAATGAAGCTCCCGAAAGAAATGATAGGCTCAAAAGGGTTAGAACTTAGCACCCCGAGCCGTAAAGCCAGTTAATAAAAAAAATATATTGACCCACGATCTTCGGAATCATTACATCACCACAACAAAAACTTCATTAATTATCATCACTGCGATAATAGTCCATTATAAGTATGTATTACGAATAACTAAGCAAACCGTTTGGTTTGAACGCGTGGTGGGTCGACAATTAAGGGGTAAAGACTATTATACCTACGTGGTAGAGCCGTGCTGCAGCTATATTATAGTTGTAGCACGAATGAGTCGGCTCGGGGTAGGACTATGCTCTCACAGAATACCACCGTGAAATAGCAGCTCAATTCTGGTGCCTTACCTATGGTGAGTATAGAGAACCGGAGACCCCTTCTACTGGAAACGAGGCATTCGATCTTAGTCCTCAGGGGTGACAAAGCATCTGCATTTTTATTCTCAATTGAAGATAAATGTACTCTACGGATCACAGCATCCACTTACCAGCAGGTGGACTGTGTGCTCGTGAGTCACCCTTATTCTGTAAAAAAGATATGTATATCTTAGTTACCTACCTACTTTAATTTTAATATTAATAAGATTGATAAGTTGTAAATAATAATGAAATTTAATTGCTATACAATTGCATTACATTATTAATACATCTTAACAGGTATAATTACAAGTTGTGAGGAATTCCATCTTAGTCCTCAGGAATACAGGATCTATGAACTACAGTAACTGATTACCATCAAGTGGACCGCAAGTTTTTGGCACTGCATTTTAAAAACACAATCCTCTACGCGTAAAGTAGTGATGAATGAGTCATTTACTTAGATATTATTTATTTAAAAATGGGCTGTGATCTGTCGACCTCGTCAGTGTCTTTGTAGGCTGTGTCGACGAATTTAGGCCCTTCGAACTCTCATGTAAGAAACGTGTTGGTAGTACGTGGTAGAGCCATGCTGAAGTTATTAAGGTTGTAAGCACGAATGAGTCGGCTCGACCGGGGTAGGACCACGCCTCTACAGGAGACCAGCGTGAAATAGCAACTTAATGCTGCTGTGTTTCGTATAGTGAGTGTAGAGAACCGGAAACCTTTTTTTTACTGGAAACGAGGCATTCCATCTTAGCCCCCAGGGCTGACAACGCATCTGCATTTTGATTCTTTATCGAAGATAAACGTAGAGGCCTATGGGACACACTATCCATTTACCATCAGGACAATACTATAAAGATGACAACAATATTATAAAATTACTTTGAACAATAACACCATTCACAGACAAATAGACGAGACGTGAAAAACATTTTATGCAATTTCATACACACCAACAGCTTCTCTCTCCAGTTGGATGAGTCCACATTACCACGGTAATTTTATCTAATATTACCGTGACATTACCCAGTAATAAAGTTCTGTTGTTAGGATATGTTCGATATATTAAAGATGAAAACGTACCAAGAACTGCTTTTAGCTACATATTTAAAGACTGATACCAAAGGAGAATCGATTTATCAAGACGCAGAACGTTTTTTTACCGACAAAGCTATGCAGTTGGTAAGAATTACTTCGCCCACTTCCGCTCAATAAAATAAAATGATGAGTCTCACCTAGTTGGAAGAACACCTCCCGCCCTTATTCAACTGCGTGCACTAATCCCGTTACCACTAATCCTAGCACCACTACTCCCAAAACTCTAACACTAAGAAAGACACACCATCGACGATAATATGACACGTGTTTCGCCTCTACAGGGCATCCTCAGGTGATGTAGACTCTACTGTGGCTGACCGCTAAGACCGCTTATCTCTAAAAAAAGTACAAGAGGTCAGTCGCGAGCGAACGCCTGCTCCGCCAGGCACGAACATATCCCCATTGTGTATGTACATGTCGAACCACATCCAAAGGTCGGTCGCACTAGTGAAATGCAAGAACTATAGCAAAGCACTTCAAAAGTCAGGAGTCGTATAGTCAGAAGCAGTGAAAATTATTGATAATGCAAAAATAAGTTTATCTAAATTCCGTAATGATTCCGCTTTTGGGGAGTTCCTTAACAGCGCGAAAACAGCAGAAGAGAGAGAGCAGAAGAATTTGAGGCAATAACAGAATTTTCTATACCTGCCCGCCCTCGCGCTAATAGAATAAAGTTAAAGTAAAGTAAAGTTACAGCCCATATACGTCCCACCGCTGGCCACAGGCCTCCCCTCATTTCTGAGAGGGCTTTAGGGCAAGGAAGGAACCGCCACGCTGCCCCAATGCGCGTTGGCGAACTTCACATGTCTTTGAAATATTTTTTTTCTTATTCCTCAGACACGCAGGTTTCCTCACGATGTTTTCCTTTACCGCCGAGCACGTGGTAAATCAGCACTTAAAATTGCAATTAACAATTTCATTGGTGCCGGCGGGGATCGAACCCGAGTTACTCGCGTTCTGTTATATTTACAGCGAGCGTTAACCATCTGAGCTACCAAGGCTCGCTAGTAGAATGCTTTTTTTAATTATGAGGCGGAGAATGAACGGATAACAGACGCGAAAATACATTTTAAAGTAATTTTTACTACTATTTATTAGACACCGTAATTATTAAGTATTGCTAATTACGAACTTTTGAATAAAAATAATGTAACTTTTTCATTCCCTCAAAAATTAAAAAAAAGAAAATACGTGTGGCACTCGGTGACTGCCGCGGTAAAGCTATTGCATAGCATTTTTATCAACTTATGCAATTATAATTATTTATTTATTTTATTTATGCAGTTAAGTCTTTGATATTAAATCAAGTTACACTTTTTGAGCGTGGTGACCGATAAGAAAACAATTTTTTTTCTCTTATTGAATAAATGAGAAGTTAATATTGTTTAAAATATTTTTAATATCTTACAATACATGTAGGTTATTCAGGAATTTTTATCATTGAGTTAGCAGCTAGTGTACACGCATACGTCTAGTCGCACGCACACAAACACCGTGCCGAAGTCTGCCGAGTGCCGAAGTCTGCCGAATTGAAACGACGTTAGACGATGCACGGCTTTCAACGCCACACCTCCGTGCCCGTCCGAGTGGGGGAGCGCGAGGTTTTTTTTTCGTTACGGAATTTCTGGATTCGGTCCCCGCGCTCAAGGCCCGCGAT